TGGCAGTAAGAGCTGTTCGACAGTGGAAAACACTCCCTCGCAAAATGGTGGAGTCCCCTTCTTTGGAGGTTTTTAAGGAGACGCTGAATGGGCAACTGTTGGGGGTGCTTTGACTCTGTGTTCCTGTATGGCAGAAGGAAGTTGCACTGGATGGCCCTTGGGGTCTCTTTCAGGCCTCTGTTTTTATATTTTCAGAGATGAAAACTGAGATGTGAGAAACTGGAGGGTTTGTGAAGTGTTCTTCTGGATATAGAGGCAGGGTAATGGAGTCACACAGACTCCATTAAGCATAACCCTTTCGCCTCCCTTTACAAAGATGTTCTCTGTACATCTGCTACTCCAGTGTAACCCCATTGTTTCCAAGATGAAGATCTTTTTATAAGATGGGAACTCTTTCTTTGAGAAGCTTTGAGAAGCTGTCAGTATTTTCCCAGAAAACGCACCGCCTATTTTTAAAAGTACCGGTAATGTGTATTTTCATTTGGTTGCCCTCCATCTGGTCAAGAAATCAAGAAACCAGAAGAAGACTGGGAACGGGGAGGGCAGCTATGAAAGACTAGAAAAGATCCTAAAGTGTAAAGACAGACAACTGAGCACAAAAGTTAGAGTCATACAAGCCTTTGTAGTCCTCATCACCATGTACAGATGTGAGAAATGGACAGCGAAGAAAGCAGAGAAGACGAAAATGTATTCATTTGAGATGTGATGTTGAAGAAGAGTGTTGAGGATACCCTGGATGGCCAAGAAGACAAATTAATGGGTCCTTGAACAGATCAAGCCTGACATTTCCCTAGAAGCCAAGATGATCAAATTGAGGCTGGTCTATTTTGGCCACATTGTGAGAAGGCAGGACCCATTAGAGAAGACAATAATGGTAGGAAAGATAGAAGGTAGTACAAAGAGAGGAAGACCACAAGCCAGACAGCTGGAATCTATTAAGGTGGCCAAGGGTATGAATTTGCAGGACCTGAGCAGAGCAATGGAGGATCTTGGAGATGTCCCATCCAAAGGGTCGCCATGAGTCGGGATCAACTCAAAGGCAGTTCAACAAGAAAACCAAGTGTGATGTTTAACAGGAAGGCTGGATTATTCATCTTTGTTCATCACTTGCCCCATATGCGAGAGGCATTCGTTTTTCTGGATAATAGGGGAAGAACCCTTGTTTGCACTTTGTTTCTTTGCTGTAGGACTGTTTGTACTTTGCCACTTCTTGCAAGAGATTATGATCCCATAAAAACTGTAACAGGGAAGAGCAAACAATTATGATTCTGGGTATACAGCAATGTTCTTATCAGACTCACATTATTGAATGTTTATGAGGAACCAGGGCCACTTTTACTTTTCCAAGGCTAGTTTGTGCATCCTACTCCACTGCCTTTTGTCCTTATCCAAACTCGGTTTCTGGATACTATCCTAGCTTGTGTTCAACTGGCTAGAAAGCTACTGACTTGCCAGGGAAATGAGCACAAGGAGGGAGATACAGAGACTATCCCTAGAGGTTGTTTAAAGTGTTTTGAAAAATTTCTTTCCTCGGGAAATGAATCCGTGTCCTATTGTATTACATGAAAGTTTTAACAATTAATTTCCAGTGGAATTAAAACTGCAAAATGAGTATGCTTGTGAAGATGCTCTAAGTACCATCTTCCGATCAGGATAAGTGATGAAATGAAAGTGAGCCATTTTCAGAGCTAGGAAGAGACACTCTTATCAAATGGCTGGAAGGTTCAAGGGGTTATAATACAAAAAAAGTGACATTTCCAAGCTGTAGTCTCTATGGTCTATATTTCATTTCTGCATCCAAATGTTTAACTGAATAATAATTTTCTGTTCACCTGCTTTCGAAACTGGGATCCTTTCAGAGATGGAAGGAAAAGCAACCAATATGGATCATAGGAACACTCTGACGTTAGTTATAATTATTATTACCATGGGCCTATTAACATGGATGGCAGTTAATGTAGTTAAATAAACCAAATAAAAACCCTGTCTCAAGGAGTTTGCCTTCCAAATTTAACCAAAGCAAGTCTCTCAGCTCCTTATAAATAGATTTATTGTTGCTGTGAGGTAGAGACTACATTATGGATGACGTTTCATGAGCCTGATCAAGTCGGATGTCCTCCACAAAAGTGAATGCGAACAATAAAACTCTCAGATTTTTAAGGTGCCATTAAGCCTTTAAAATTAAAATTAATTTTATTCTTTTGCAACAGACTAATTAAACATGGGCCATCTTAAACATGGTCTGAAAATTCAGGGACAAAGGGGACAGCAACATAGGGAGTGGGAAAGAAGTGTTCCCAAGGAATAAACCTTCCCACCTTTCTTAGATATTTCCCCAGCAATCTGGCTATAAAATCTCAGTTTTGCTGTT